ATATATATATATATATATATATATATAAGCGAACATCACGGAAACATGTTGTCTGCCTCATGCGAATATAGATTCGTGTTTCGTATCGCTAGGACTTTGGCAACTATCTTCATCGTTTCGGTGTAAATCATCTCTCAAGCAGATATTATTTGGATGATCTCAACTATGATCAAAATAGTTTAGACTCGATGAGCACATCGATGCATCCCTAATTCATCATTTTGCTCATCTCTGTCGAATAACCCTTTAGTATAATTAGTGTGATCGTCGAGTTAAAAAAATTATATAGAGATCAACAACTTTATCTTTAAATTATTAAAAATGCCAACAAAAAATAATGTTTTGTATTAAGTGATATTATGATTTATCTTTTAATTGCTCATTCAATCTGTCATTTAGTTTGGATTAATATTGTTTTATTTTGTTTCATAATGAACAAGCCGGCTTAATTTCGTATACTTAAGCTTGAGTTGGAACTTGATCTCAAACTCGATTAATCTATCAAGCTCAAGTTAAGGGTGGTTTGACCTTGACTCTACTCATTTACATTCCTAACGTCGACCATTTGATAATTCGGTTAGGAGAGTATAGTTTTAGATTTGGCTAGAGTTTTAGATTTGACTTAAGAGAAGAAAGATAGAGATAAACCTAGAATGACTTGGGCATGCTGTGCAAAAAATGAATTTAATTTATTAGAATTAAATAAAATTATGACACTCAATAAGCACAATGGAGAAAATGGGTTCATGTAGCCAAACCCACTTAGTAGGGTAGATTTGTTGTTGTTGTAGGGTTTGAGTGCTCATCCTGCCTGACACAAAAGGGGGCGCTTACATACCACCCAATTCCTATGTTTATGCATATCTTATATGAAAACCTTATTTTTTATATTTATATAATCCAATCTTTCATATCACATAAAAAATACCACTATTTTAACTTTTAAAATATGAAATCTACCTTTTCATGCATGGGCAAGGTGATATGTATGTAAAAATTGAGGTTTAGCTGTTAGATATGTAAAGTTAATAATAATTGGTTGTTATATATGTAAATCTTTCAAAAAAAAGGGGAAAGGAATTTGTTAAAAAGTTGTGACTGCTAAAGTTGAGAATTTTGGATAAATATTATACAACATTATAAAACTTTGATTCAAAGTGAGCATGTGATAGCAGAATTACTTCAATATATCTGAAGAGACTTCTAATTTTCTTTTCCTTTTCCCTTTTTTCTCTCTTTTTACTGTAGGACTACATTTATTTTACCCAAATTTGATCTAACGAAACAGGTCACAACCATTTATGTATTTACATGATTATATCTATGCTCCATTCAACTTGGTCAAATTCATTCAAAAACAGAAACTTTTAGTATTTTATTATTGTTCATTTTTCAGAAGGAGAAGGCTGCAGAGGAAGAGCCTGAGGTTGATCCAGATGTGGCAGCCATGATGGGATTCGGAGGTTTTCGTTCATCGTCGAAGAAATAAAATGAAGTTGGAACCTAATTATAGCTGATATTTCTCCATTTCTGCAGCTCAAGCTCCAGCCCAGACTAGAAATTCTAGGAAGAGAAGACAAAAAAAAAATAAAAAAAAAATCAATTTTGAGTAGCACTCCAGATTGATCTTGTGGTGTTAAGGTGTTTAGTGATCAATGTTTCGCAAAGGATGAGTATTTTATTTATAAGGCTTGTCTTTAATTGATGCTGTTTCTTGTTGTGCTGTTCATTGATCTAGTTTCTGATTACTTTATTGCAGGCCATTATTGAAAAACTAAATAAATGAATGAAAGTGAAGGTGTTCTACATGCCACTCAATTTCCATGTATTTATATATCTAACAACTAAATTTTAATTTTTACATGTGTAAAAACTAAATAAATGAATGAAAGTGAAGGTGTTCTGATTTAAAGTTGGAAGGTTTTCATATATACATGCCACTCAATTCCCATGTATTTATATATCTAACAACTAAATTTCAATTTTTACATGTGTGTCATCTTACCGATGCATGCAAAGGTGTATTTTTTGAAGTTAAAATGGTGGTATTGTTTTATGTGATAAAAAAGATTTCGGCGGTATACATGTAAGAGTGAAGTTTAGTTGTTAGATATGTAGATACACAAGAGTTGGGTTGTATGTATGTATGTATGTATGTATGTA